CACACACATACACACACATACACACACATACACACACATACACACACACATACACACACACATACACACACACACCGACACACCGACACACCGACACACCGACAGACACACTTAGCGAATTATATAAAGTAGGATGCATTGTAAACTCTACAACAAATCTATTACCACAGTTCTGTCATTCTACAAGAAATTCCTGGTCAACGTAAACGTAAAAAGGGGTCTGGCAGCGATATCATCTAGCTTAAAATTTTCCGTACCGCTCTCTAGGACATCATGATTAATTTGGAGTAAGAAGAAATGAGTGTGAAGGCCGACGGTCGCTACTTACATAATATCCTTTTTGCAGATGAGATGGCTGAGGTGCTTATAACGCTGAATATCGACGCAGGGGGAACGAATGCTGGAAGAATTCGACAACGCTTGTGGAACGTTCGGCTCACAAGTGAACCTCAAGAAGACGATGTTCATGACATTCCACAAGCTTGCCGAAGTCTTGCATGTTACGTGTATATAGTTTAAGAAAGAGGGCATGAAGAAGACAAAAAAACCTCCGGCTTTGCGCTCACCTTTTGACATTGCGGGATTTCCCTTTTTTGATATATGTCTCAAGACTTCCATTCAGGGTGCCGTGGAAAAGGCGATGCTCGGGCATTCCTTCACAGCAAGTGCAGAGTGGAATCCGGAGTTCCCAGCTCCGTCAATGGACGAAAATCAGTGACACCTTTGCTTACACCAGAGACTGGAGGCTTAAGTGTGCCGTTATGTGATGCAGTGATGACTGCTGGACCAGGGCGGTTACTGACTGGATCCCTCGAGGCGTCAAACGAACGCTAGAACGGTCGTCAGCGCGATGATGAGACTACTTAAGCTCTGAACGGAATGGAAACGATCCCTCGTGTTTCTCGATCCATGACTACTCTGACTCGCGACAGAGACGAATGGAGACGTTGGAGAAGTTACCGGCACCTGCTTTAGGAAGTCGTTGATAAACGGGTTCAACGAAAGAACACACTCTGCGTCAAAGAGTACCGTATTTTTCAACATACGCGAAGTTCCTAGGGGACGCTGAGAGACTTTTCCTGCTCCAGCTCAAGTACATGTGCTTGTCACAACCAAGACGAGCATGACTTGCCGCAGTTCCATGTGGTCCTTGTCTGTCAACTTAAAGAAGCGTGAACCAGGACTTAGCAAACGGCAGATGGGCAGGACCCACCGCGTCGTTTCTATTATCTCGCAACTCGAGAGACCGCGAAAAACTACTGAACTAAGGCACAATCTATCCGATACAAGTACAAGAGCAAGCACTCAACGATAGACCAACCATATCGTGCTGGGTTGAGGTTGCCCGATCCAGGACTTTTGTTTTGGAAAGCTATCGAATGCTAGAGAAACCTTGTAAGAGAGGTTGTTTACAGATGGGGTTACGTCTGACGAAAGGTTTATTTTTTTGGAAGGAAGTAGGTTTGACCTGAATGGACTGCAGGGGATGCCACTGATGTGATGTGCTGCTAGAACCAGTGCAGTGCAGCCGGTGACTTCTTTGGCGGAGCATTGATAACTTAGGGAGCGTACTTTTAGGACAAAATCTGGATCCAGTAACCGTCTCTAAACGATTTTTTCATGCAGCTCTCCAGTAATAGAGAGAGCATGGAGAAGTTCTCCAATCGAGAGTGCAATCTTTCATTGAAAACGAAAGCAGTCTTCTAAAAAAAGACAAGCGCCCGCGAAAGCAGGTCAGACTCTGTAGGGTTTTAGCAGCACAAAGTCTTCCTACATACTGTTTTGCACGTAATTCTTATCCTAATCCTACGGAAAACGTGTGCGGTATAACTAAATGCTCCAAAGACTGATAATAACTACAAGGAATATACTCAGAGATGTGTCGACGCTGCAGAATTCAAAACCTGTCAGCAGATGAACCACATCTGCTCATAGCTGGTTTTCAAACGAAAATACCAGTTGACTGCAAATTTTTATTGGTTTCGAAACTTGACTTTTGAAGTTTCATGGCGTATGCTGCCAGTCAGCGTTTTAAGAAACCTTTTTGGTAAAATGAGAAATTGACGTAAAGCAGAGAAAAGAACTTATAACGCCTGAAAGGATTTTCTAGATTTTGTGCTTGACAGAACTTCGTGGTTTTGTGGAAATGGACAACCCCGTTATCCGAAAGTCACAGTAGTCACTCCAACATTACGCTCCGCAAAATACATGTAAGGAAGGAAATCGG